TACACCATAAATTTATTTATTTATTTATTTATTTATTTATTTTTTAAACATTTATTTATTTATTTGTGTGTGTGTGTGTGTGGCCAGTTCAGCCCACCAGGGGGCAGGGCTGGCTGGCATGTGGTGCTGGGGGATCAAACCATGGTCCCTGCGCTTTGTGAAGTTTGTTCCAAGTAGGTGCTTTAGACCACTGAGCCATCTCACCAGCCCTACACCATAAATTTAAACTTCTAGTGATTGCTTCCCTTCTTTTGCTGCTGAAAGCATGGCATACATAGTACACACAGTAATGTAGAATAGACTCAATCTGGCCTGTCATCCAGCCTCTTAAATCAGCTTACTTATACCAGCAGAACCCTGACCTCTAAAAATATCCTCCTTCCTGTTTAGCACACCCTGATAATCCTGTGATCCCCATTCCAGTGGCTGTGTGAGTCCGAAGCTGTCTCGTGCTGTACTTGTCCCCACTAGGCCTTGCTGGAGATGCCCTTTGCCATTTTGCTGGGCGCGCATGTTAGCTGGCCTTTCCATTTCTGTGTAATCTCACTTAAATGTGAAGTATCTGCCATTGTTTCCTAATAAGGAGATTGCGCACTAGTAATGAAGGGTTCTGTTCCACGCTATACCATTCAGTTAATAAACTTTGTATGTAGTTGGAATGATTTTTTTCTCATCTGTGCTTTGCTTCTTTTTCTTTTAAAATGAATAGAAATTGTTCTCATAATTATTCAATTTAAAATATAATGAATGTAGGGCTGGGGAGATGGCTCAGTAGAATAAGTGCTTCCCTGGCAAGTGCAAGAGCCTGAGTTCAATCCTTGGTACTGCAAAATAAATAAATAAATAAATAAATAAAATATAATGAATGTATAAAAACTCAGGTTACCTGCTGGGACAAACCCAGTCACAGGGGACCGAAGTTTGATCCCCAGCTCCCTGTGCCTTACCAGACCCACCCTTAAGGCATGCTGAACCACCCAAAAAAAAAAAAAAAAAGAAAAAGAAAAAGAAATTCAGCTTGTGGACCACAGTATTTTTATTTAGTGGTGTTCTGTTCGTTTTTGTACTGGGGATTGAACTCAGGGCCTTCACGCTGAGCTACATGCCCACCCCTGATTTGATTTTTTTTGAGACAGGTTCTTACTAAATTGCTGAATTGCTCAAGCTGAGTTGGAACTTGGAAATGCTCCTGCCTCAGCATCCCAGAGTACTGGTATCGCAGGCATGCTCTACCACATCTGGCTCTAATTTAGTGGTTGTTTTGTTTTGAGACCTGGTCATGCTCTATGTAGCCCAGGACTGGTCTTGACCTCACTGTGTAACCCAAGCTGGCCTCAAACGTACAGGATCTTCCTGCCTCAGCCTCCTGAATGCTGAGTATAGGCCTGCATTGCTACACCCCACTTAAGTTAGTAATTTTTAAAAGAGAAAGACACAAGGGGCCGGGGAGATGGCTCACTAGAGTGAACGCTTCCCTGGCAAGCACAAAGACCTGAGTTCAATCCCCGGTTCTGTAAAAAAAAAAAAAAAGAGAGAGAGAGAAAAAGACACATGATTAAAAACCAAAATCATTAATTTTAAACTTTGAAAGTATTTTATAAGAGCCTGGTGTAGTGGTGCATACCTATAGTCCTGGCACTCAGGAAAATGAAGGCAGGAGAATTGTCTTGAGTTAGAGGCCATGTTCCAGGCTGGCCTTGAATGTGTAGTGATCATCCTGCCTCAGCCTCCAGAGTGCTGGGAGGATTATAGGTATGGGTAACCATGCCCAACTCTCTCCCCCAAATCTTTTTCAATAAAATTTGTCTTTCTGAATTAGACTAAACCTTTTGCTTCATTTTGGGAAAACATTGAGCCCTAGAGAAGTTCATTGGTGCTTTTCAAGTCAGTGCCAAGCTCACACCAGCAGTAGTCAGCAGCACCTGAGGCAGAAAGGGCCTCTTCACGACGCGTATTTGCATATCGTGATCCAAAGCCTGATTACTGGGAGGGCCTGCCCGTTAGCTCAATTGTTTAAGTGCCTGCTTATGCAAATGAAGTCAGGCACAAGATACCTAGGTTTGATCCCCAGCTCCACATGCCTTACAGACCCGCCCTTAAGGAAGCCTGAGCCAGAAAAAGAAAAATTCCCCAAAGCCTGCTTGTCAAGAATTCCTTCACAGAAGTATTAGTCAGTCATTGAGAACGAGCTGGTGCGAATTATGGCCTGCTGCAATGCAGGTAACAAATGCAGCCATTTTATGTAACACTAAGACTCAGATTGAAGCAATTTATGTTCTGGCACGGAGATTAAGTTATATACCTTTTAAATGCTAAGATTCTTGATTCTTATAGCTGTGCCTGAAAAGTAGACCCAGATTGTCAACTGCAGGACAGAACAAAACTATCTAATAAAATTTGGGAGCTGAGGATTTAGCCCTTGTGGTAAAGAACACTTGCCTAGCATGTGTGAGAGCTGGAAACTAAATTGAAGTCCTTTTTTCTTTTTAAGTTTTTTGACACAGGATGTCATTGTGTAGCTCAGGAGGCTTTAAACTCACTGTGCAGCCCAGGCTGGCATTGAACTTGCAAGGATCTTCCTGCCTCAATCTCCTGAGTGCTGCGATCACAGGTGTGTGTCACTATGCCTGGATGAAATAAAATCTTTGTCTTTATTTTTTGAGACAGAGAAAGGGACACACTGTACGGTTCAAGCTGCCTCTGAAGTCACTGTGTAGTCCAAACTGGGATTATAGGCATGTGCCACCACGCCTGGCTTGAAATAAAGTCTCAGCCTAGTAATGATTTTATGTAATGATTATATTTGTTGATTTTTTGCATAGCACCTTAAAAATCTTGTGTTAACTTGGGTGGATTTTTTTTTTTTTTTTTTTTTTTTTGGTGGAACCAGGGATTGAACTCAGGCCCTTGTGTTTGCCAAGGAAGCATTTATTCTACTGAGCCATCTCAGTAGAATTATCCAGCCCAGATAATTCTACTTAATCCTACAACTATTATCTAGGGTGATTGGGGGGGGTTGTTTGGTACCAAGACTTGAACTCAGAATTTTGTGCTTTCCAGGCAGGCCCTTGTGCCACTGAGCTATATCCCTAACCCTATCTAGTTGTTAGATTTTTTTTTTAATTAAGTATATTGATATAGTTAGATATACAAAATGGCTACATCCATCATAGAAAGTTTGTAACTATACATGGTGTACCTTGCTTTTTTTTTCCTTCCCATTCTCATACCCACCCTTAACCTCTTTTTTTTTTTTTTTTTTTTTTTGGTCTTTTTGAGACAGGGTCTCTCTGTACAGCTCAGGCTGGCCTTGAGCTCACTTTGTAGCCCAGACTGGTCTCAAGCTCACATCAATCCAAGTGCTGGGATTACAGGTGGCACCACAATGCCCAGCTGCCCTCCATTTCTTTTTTTCTTTGCTTTGCTTTTTTTTTTTTTTTTAATGTATTTAGTACAGGATCTTTAACTCATAGTAATCCTATGTTCAGCCTCCTGAGAGCTGGGATTACAGGCACATGCCACCATGCCCAGTCTCAGTCGCTGTCCCAGCATGCCCCGGTGGGTGGGCTGTCATGGCAAACTGGGGATAGAACCCTGGTCCCTGTGCTCTGCCTAAGCAGGCAGTTTAGTCTGAACTATCTGACTGGTCCTGCCCTCCATCTCTTGACCCCCTTCCCATATGATCTGTAGCCCTACTTTCTATTATATATCTTTTATTTTGCTCTTTATTTATATTTTGGGTGTTTCATATGAGAAAAACCATGTACTATATAAGCCTGTGTCTGGTTATGAAAACATTATGTTGCTTAATGTTATGGTCTCAAGGTACATTCGTTTGCCTGAAAAGACTCAAAATCTTCTTTCTTTAAAGCCAGGGTTTGGTTTGGTTTTTTGAGACAAGATCTTACTGCATAGCTCAGGCTGGTCTCGAACTCACAGCAATCCACCTGGCTTTTAGCCTCCTGAGTCCTGGGACTACAAGTGTGTGTACCCGGCCCAGCCGAAAGCCATGTTGTCATTAACTTGCTGAATGTACGACAGCACTTCTGCTAAAACTTGAACAAAAGAAGTGGCATACATGGTGTTAAAGGTAGAAAGCTCTCAATACCTAGAACTTTTTTCAAGACATCATCCTGACATGCAGTAATGACAAAGTCAATGTGCCTGGAAGTAATCTATCTTCTTACGGTTGGTCAAGGGCTTACTCTCCATTTTGCGCAAATTGAAGAGTGCGCCGGACCAGGAGGTGAGAATCCTTCTCCTTGGCTTGGATAATGCTGGCAAAACCACTCTGCTGAAGCAGCTTGCCTCAGAAGACATCAGCCACATCACGCCTACGCAGGTGAGCACCGCTGGCTCCAGAGTGTGGCACGGCGCATGGGGGGAGGGGGGTGTATGTGTGTGTGGTAACGACAGCTGGAAAGGGGGCATCCACCTCTAGGAATTGTTTCTGAGAAGAGACTGCTCAGTAAAAGTAGCAGAGTGGATAACAGAACATTTTTTGAATAGCCACATTCATAGAGACAGGTTTTGGGAGCAGTGAGGGGGCCCGGGGAGTTTTGTGTCCACAAGGGACATTGATCAGTTTTCTAGGAGAAAAGCAGATGCACACAGTGTAGTGTTCTCAGGGCACCAATGTCAGTGAACACATTTTCACATGCATTTAAAAGGTACATTTTGTGTTCTGTATCATCTAGCATATTCAAATATATAAACGGGGGTTAGCTGGGAGTAGTGGCACACACCTGTAATCCCAGCACTCGGGCAGCGGAAGCAGGAGGATTGCTAAAAATTGGAGGGGCTACGTAGTGAATTCAAGACCGGACTTACCTACGTGGCAAGACCCTATCTCAACAGTTAAAATATATATATATAAAATAAATGATCGTGTGTGTGTGTCATGGCCTTAGATCAGTTACAGATTAGCTTTGTTTTGGTTTGGTTTGTTTCAGACAGGGTCTCACTATGTAGTACAAACTGCCCTTGAACTCACTATGTACCTTAGGCTGGTCTTGAATCCGAGTTAGTCCTCCCGTCTGAGCCTCCTGAGTGCTGGGATCATGCGTGTGAGCCACTGCAACCTGGCTTTCTTGTTTAACTTTCTGCAAAGCTCTAGTCCAGAGGGGCTCAGTCCTTTTGGCAGCTGCCTTCCTCATGGCGGCCAGCACACTGCTCAGCTCCTCACACTTCCTCTTGGTGCAGATGTGTGTCCCCACCCTTTTCTTGATGAACTTGAGGGCGCATTTGTCCTTGGAGACCTCCAGCAGCTCCATGGCACACCACTTAAGCCACATACCTCCTGGATCATGTCCCACACGAGCTTGGTGTGTTTGGTGAGGCATCTGCTACCGCGGCTGTGCCTCTGTTTACTCACAGTCTTCTGGCCCTTGTTGAGGCCCACGGCCATGGGATAGTAGAGGACCATGACTACTGTTCTTCACTGGTTGCTGTGGCGGAAGCCACAACCTGGCTTAGATTAGCTGCTTTTCTTTTTTTTTTTCCTTCCAGGACTGAGGATTAAAGTGCGAGTCTCACATCCTAGGCAAGCATTCTATCTTGAGCTACACTCTCAGACCTATATATTTGTTTTAAAAGTAAAAAAATAAATAAATAAAAATCCTTTTCAGGCCCCTGAGTTTCACCCCTGGCACCATCACCAAAAAGCTCCTTTATCTTCTTGGATTATGAAGTTACAGACAGTGTATAAAAGAAAATACTAAAACATTTCCTAGAGACAACGACTGTTGGTACTTTACTGTGTGTTTTTCAGATTTAATATGGATAAATATGTATGATATTAAAAATTAAAAAGTTCTGGGGGTGTGGACGGGGAGATAGCTCAGCAGCATAAATATAAATACCTGCTTGGCAAGCACACAGCCCCAGGTTCAATCCCCAGAACTGCAGAAAAAAAAAAAACAAAATGAAACAAAAAAAGTTGTGGGCCAGGCATGGTGGCAATGCCTTTAACCCCAGCACTAGGGAGGCTGAGGCAGGAGGACCATTGTGAGTTTGAGACCAGTCTGGGTTACAAAGTGAGCTCAAGGCCAGCCTGAACTGCATAGTGAGTGCTGTCTCAAAAAGACTAATAAAATAAAACAGTTCTGTAATTTTTAAAATCCAGCCTCAAAATAAAATAAAGTCCAGCTTCATCCCTCTTTTCCTTCCTGAGGCCAGCCAGGCAAAATGCAAAGGACAAGGCAGCGGACTGCCACAAAACTGGGTGCTGAGGGGAAGCCCTTTGTAGGCTTTATTTTGTTTTTTAAACAGTACTAGGGATTGAAGTCAGAAATTTGAACGTGTAGAGAAGGACTCTGCTGCTGAGTTACAGCACCAGTCTTTTCTTAAACTTCACTATGAGGCCGAGCTTGATATATACATGTCTGTAATGCCAGCACTCTGGGTGACTGAGACAGGAAGACCAGAAGTTGGAGCCTAATTTATGCAATTTAGCAATTTAGTGAAACCCTGTCACAGAATGTAAAAGCAAAATAGGGCTAAGGAGGTAGCTCAGTGCAAAGATCCTGGGTTCAATCCCCAGTAGTGAAAATTTAATTAATTAAAATTGGAGGCAGGGTCTTACTGAATTGTCCAAACTGGCCTCAAATTTTCAGTCTTCTTTGTCTCTGCCTCCTGAGCAACTGGGATTGTAAACTTTGATTTTTGAGGGTTTTTTTCCCTGTGTTTTTGTTTTTGTTATTTAAACTAGGAATCAACTCAGGATCTGGCATTTCCCAGACAGGCGCTGTGCCACTGAGCTATATCCCCAGCTCTTTCCCTACTTTTTTTTTCTTTGCCTACTTTTTTGGGACAGGGTCTCACCCTGCAGACAGGATGCCCTAGAATTTACAGTGTAGTCCAGGTTGATCTTGAACTCCTGTAGTCCTCCTGCCTCAGCCTCCTAAGGACTGAGATTATAGGCAAAGATTGTTCTGCTTCTGCTTCCAGAATTATAGGGGTGCACCACCATACCTAGCTTTAGTGGGCTTTTTTAGGCTTCATTCCCTGTAAGAAACCTGAGAAAGCTTGATTTATGGCAAAGCCAACAGGAACGGCCTGCTGGGATTAGTCACTTTAAAGTGCTTGAGCATTAGAAGGTTTCGCAAAAGCAGTGTTGTTTTTGCATTTTCTCTCATGGCGCAATAAGAGCTTGATGTCTGGGTGGCTGGGCTGGTTTGTGCACTTCATGGCCTGCAAGGCTTGGTGATTGACAGCTCTTTACAGAAAGCTCATCTCACTGCTACCAAAGGAGTGACTGGACAGTTTCCTAACAAATGTGAAGTGCAGCCGAAAGGCAGCTAAATGCAGCAGTCCAGTCTAGAAGGGCTGAAGACATATATGAGTGTGTCAGGGTTGCTGGCAAGAAGAGAAGAGCTGACCTTTTTCAGTTTTTTCATCTTTTCTTTTTTTAATGTATTTAGTGCAGGGTCTACAGGATCTCGATATATAGATCCGACTTGTAGTGATTGTCCTGTTTCAGCCTCCCAAGCACTGGGATTGCAGGTGCGCCACCACGCCCAGTCTCAGTCACCATCTCAGCATGTCCAGGGGCAGGGCCGGCACAGCACACCAGGGATCCTGTGCTCCGCCTAAGCAGGTGCTTTAGTCCACTGAGCCATCTGGCCAGCTCTTTATTTTCTTTTTAATATCAGCAGTAGACTACTTGTCAGTATCACTAAATTTCCACAATTATTTCCAAACAAATAAACTCAAACTTAGAAACATAGAGTTCTAATTGTAACCTCAGGCTTTGTTAGATGTGGCATACCTTGCTTGCTTGCTTGCTTTCTCTGTCTCTTATTTTGAGACAGGGTCTCGTTATGTATGGCTAACCTTAAACTCACAGCAATCCTCTGCCTCTGCCTCTGCCTCCCAAGTGCTGGGATTACAGATGTGAGCCACCATGCCTGGCTTTTGTTTTATTTTCTAAGAAAAAAAAATTTTTTTTTGTACTTTTTTTGGGGGGATAGGAAAAGTAATAGATGCTCATCCTCGTACATTTAGAAAGTGTAAGTAAAATAAAATGGAGAACCTAGAAGTCAATAATCATGCCCAGATAGAACTACTGCTAACATTTGGAAATGTATCCATTCAAGCTGGTTCAGTTTTTTATTGTTTTTTGGCACTGCGGATTGAACCAGGGAGTTCACACTGAGCTGCATCCCTAGTTGTTGTTGTTGTTGTTGTTGTTTCCAAATTAGGATCTTGATAAATAGCTAAGTTGCCCAGGCTGGAATCAAACATCTTCCTCCTGCCTCAGCCTCCAAGAATGCCGAGATTACAGTCTTGCACCAGTACTCACAGCTTTGGGGGACAGTTTGTGGGTTTCTTTTCTTATGTTTGCATGTGTGTATAAGCTTGCCTATGCATGCACTATGGTTCCACTTAATGAATCATGAGCATCTTTCTGTGTTATTCTGTGTGCGTAACACATGAAAATGTTTGTGTCCACTCGTTACAGTATTTCCTTACAATAACTTGCCATCTTTCTTGGTCTAATGACTCATAGAAACTTTTTTTTTTTTTTTTTTTTTTTTGTGGAACCAGGGGTTGAACTTGGGCCCTTGCACTTGCCAGGCAAGCACTTATTCAACTGAGCTATCTCCCTGGCCCCTCGACTCGTAGAAACTTAAGGCTGTTGATATATATGGTCAAGTTCCAGGATGCTGAAATCTGTTCCCTACTTCATTCCAGATATTACTGAGTTTAATACTTAATATTATTGAATGTAGAATGTAGACTCACAGAAGTCATTCTCTCAGCAAATCACAGTGAAGGTGCTTTTTGTAATGAGCTCAAGCTATTTCCCTGTGGAGTTCTCATTTGTTGGGTTGTTGGTGCCTTAGAAGAGTGGTAGTTGGCGTGGTTCCCAGTATCCCCTGGCAGCCGTCCTCAGGGGAAGGTGGGTGTCCCATGTCTGTGGCGCTGCAGCAGCCTCTGTGCTGATGAGGAAGCCTCAGCAGCACCCTCTGCTCCTGGAGGGATTGTCTCTTGGGTGGGTGGGGGCATAACTGGGGATTGACCCACCCAGGGCCTTCACAGTGAGCTGCGCTCCCAGCTCTATTTTCTTATTCTTAGGCAGGATCTCACTAAGCTGCCCAGGTTGGGCCCAAACTTGTGGTCCTCCTGCCTCTTCCTCCCAGAGGAGACGTCTCTTCTCTGCCATAGAAGAAGTTCTCTTCTATGGCAGAGAACTGATTGGACTTTTACATCCTGGTTTCCATTTTTCTTTCTTGCAATAAGGGTTTGGTTTTTGCTGTTGTCTTCTTTTGAACTCCTATTCAGAAGTAACTCCTCTCTGAGCCCCAAAGGCCTTGTTTTTCCCTTCAGCCTGAGTCCCAGCTGGCTATCCTGGAGCTGCTGCTCTTAGATAGTATACCGGGAAGTGCTTGTTCCACTGAGCCATCTCCCCAGCCCTTAGATAGTATATCAGAGATGCACTGTTTCCTGCCCATACTAAGAACTGCACTTCCCCACTCCATTGAGCTGTTCCCCAGGCCCCACCCCACCTGCTGGGCTCCAACCCAGCCTCCCCCTTTTCCTGATTAATCCACAGGGGGGTATGATTTTGAGCTATACTTGTCAAGAGTCTAGTCCCTTTTTTTGGTGGTACTAGGGATTGAAGTCAGGACCTTGCACTTGCAAGGCAAACACTTATTCCAGAGTCTAGTCCTTCAAACTTGTAGCTCTTTTTTTTTTTTTTTTTTTTTTTGCTCTTGTATGTTTTATTTTTGCTATTTTTATTATTATTTTGGGAGAAATGTTTTGGACAGGGTCTCACTATGTAGTTTTGACTGACATTGATGTCACTATGTAGCCCAGGCTGATCCTGACCTGGGGACAGTCCTCCTGCCTCAGCCTTCTGAGTGTTGGGATTACAGGTGGGAACCACCACTGCTGGCTCCAAATGCTAAGTTTGAAGAGAGACAGCAGCCCAACCCCAACCTCAGAAGGTAAGACTTGCTGCAAGTTTGAGGCCAGCTTGGGCTACCTGGTGACCTCAAGGCCAGCCACAACTACATAGCAAGTCCATGTCTCCTCTTCCCCAGGGGGGAAAAAGAAGCATTTGAGAATATATACTAAAGCTGTAAAGCAACCATTAAATAACAAAAATTAAAAGTTACAATCAGTACTTAGCATTTGTTCTTTTTTGTTGTCTTTAGATTTAGATTTGAGTTTTGTTCGTTTCATGTAGTAGCCTGTTAAATTTACTATTCTGTATTTTTCTTTCTTTTGGTGCCTCATGAATGCTAGGCGAGTACTCTACCCCTGAGCTACATCTCCAGCCTTGTATATATATTTTTTCATTATAGAAAAGCATCACGTTAGCCCTGACATTACCAGTGCTGACCACAGCCTGAGTGAAATAAGTCTGTGTGGACACGTTTTTCTCCCTCACAGCAAGCCATTTTCACCACTAGCACTCTCCCGAGGCGGGGGTTTAACTGAGTGGCAGGGGATGGGCCTGGTGTGTGTAAGGCCCTGGGTTGCATCGCCAGCACCACAAGGAGCTGCTATGTCTGGCAAACTAATACGTCAAAATTAATTTTAAATGTAGCTAGTAGAGGCTGGGATGTGGCTCAGCAGTAGAGCATGTGCTTAGCGTGCGCAAGAGCCTGAGTTTAACGCCCAACACACACACACCTGTTACATTTACCAGAATTAATAAAATTTGGTATTTTTTCCTTTTTGTCTTTCAGGGTTTTAACATCAAAAGTGTACAATCACAGGGTTTTAAGCTGAATGTATGGGACATTGGTGGACAAAGGAAAATCAGGCCATACTGGAGGAATTATTTTGAAAATACTGATATTCTTGTAAGTATGCTTTCTGATGTGCAAATTCACGCTCCTTTTTTTTCCCCATGTGTTAGGAACTTTTCAGTAATTCCATTACCACAACATTAATTGCCGTGAGTTGAAGGGTAGCAGAAGGCTTCAGGCTGTGGAAGAGAAAAATCTTTCCATAAAGCGTTTTTCTGTCACTTATTTCTATTATTGACCCACATCCACTTTGGCAAAATAAAGTGCTTCTTCCCATTGTGATTTGAATAGCAGTGTGGAAGTCAGGAGGTCATGTGTTAACACTGTCACCCCAATGAGTGGTCGTGTCAGGAGTGTTCCTGAGGGACAGGACACCACGAGAGGCCTGGGAGGATGAAGAATGGCCCACGTCTGACTGTGCTCCCAGAAGAGGAAACACTTGCCACTTGTCCCTTTGCACCTAGCACTGCATTAAAGCTGAGAGGCCAGCCTCCTCCTGCATAGCCCTGGAAGCCTGAGCTGGCGCAGTGTGAGGAGTGTTAGGCTGCAGAGTTTGATGCAGAGAGGAAGAGGTTTCCTAGGACTCTGTCCAGCAGCAGGAAGGCTGCCTGTGCCCTGGGCATTCACTGAGCTAAACCGAGGGCTCTCACAAACTTAGGTGAGGAAAGAAGAGTGCATATTACTTTCACTAACCTCTTGCAGAAAGATTGTTTTTCCCTCAGTTATGATCAAGGATGATAAACAGCAGGACACAGGCACATCTGTGTCCTCCTGCCAAGAGGGCCTTTACTGTGAGTCCCTCTTGGATCCCTCCTGTCTTTAGCCTCGTGTTCTCTCATTTACAAAGCAAAACACAGGGGCCAGGGAGATGGCTCAGTGGAATAAGTGCTTCCCTGGCAAGTGCAAGGGCCTGAGTTCAATCCCCGGTTCCGCAAAAAAAAAGAAAAACAAGCAACAAATAAAGTCAAAGATAACTCTTTTCTTGTTTGAACACCCCCCTCTGGATGCTGTCCCGTTCCCCAGGCTCCCTGTACAGTGAGACATGAGCTTTCTGCTCTCTCTCAGTCTCCCTCCTGGTCACTCCAGGGCTGCCTTCCAGGTGCCCCACCTTGGCCTGCCAGCTCTGGCACAGTTAGCAGAGTGGTCTCGTCAATGTGTCCTTGAAGCATCATCTCTCTTTGCCTTCCAGGGTACCGCTCCATCTTTACTTTTCTCCTCATTTTCCATTGCTTTTGCTTTTGCTTTTGCTTTTTGCTTTTTCCTTTTTCAAATCTCCAGCTGTGGTTTAGCTCAGGAACATCCCAAGGGTTAAGGGTTTGGTGTTCAGCTTGGTGCTGCAGGGAGTATGAGTCTGTAAGGTCTGATGGGAGATTTAAAGTTATTGGGCCATACCCTCAGAGGGGATCTCTCTCTCTCTCTCTCTCAGTGTCTCTGTCTCTGTGTCTGTCTGTCTGACTTTCTGTCTGTCTCTCTCTCTCTGTCTCTCTCTCTCTCTGTCTCTCTCTCTCTCTCTCTCTCTCTCTCTCTCTCTCTCT